TTATTATTATTATTATTATTATTATTATTATTATTATTATTATTATTGTTGTTGTGTCAATCAGTGTTTCACCATTGAAATATCAGGTCACAGTTCTTTTTTTCACTCCATTACAAACATTCATGGCAGCAATGCCTTGTCCTTTTTTTTTAACATTAATTATACTGATATCCAAATGATTAGATATTTTATTTAAAATGTATCCAAGATGTGATGAAATGTCTAATGGGCATCTGTGTGGCTGACCACAGTTCATGCAACGTTCGTTTTTATTTAATAAATCTTTTGTCTTTATGATTTGCTCTTGTCCAGGTGTCACTACAGCAACCTTGCCTTTTCTTTGCTTGCTCATGTCATGGCAGAGCGAGTGGTTGGAGTAGAATACCAGCGATGGGTCACAGAAAACATCCTAGACCGCCTGGGGATGGAAGACACAGGTTTTGGTCTGACTCCAGGGTTGCAGGGTCAGATGGCAGTGGGAGTTTACTCAAATGGAAAACCTGCCCCACTCTATGACCTCGGCTGGTACCGGCCTTCTGGTCAGATGTTTTCCACTGCCGCAGATATGGCCAAGCTCGCCATGATGCTGCTGGGTACTTACCACCGCAAACTACTGGAACCAGATTCCCTGAAGATTATGCTGACCCCACTCTTTAGATGTGATAAGGACTACTTTGCTAACCGTACTGGGACACCATGGGAGGTGAATGACCTCTTGGGCTACGAGATGCTGAGAAAAGATGGTGATCTGGATGGCTTCTCCGCCACATTCTCCCTGGTTCCCAGGCTGAAGCTCGGCCTGGTCATCCTCATGGCAGGCAGCAGGTCTCAAAAACAAGACGTGGTCACAAAGACCTACAGCTTCATTGTTCCAGCCATTGAAAAAGCTTTCAGGGAAGCCAAAAAAGTTCTTGTTGCTCCCCCAAATCCAGAGTCGTATATTGGCTTCTATACATACAGCAACATCACTTTCTACGAGATCAAACTAGGACCAGATGGAATTCTGATCATGCAGCAGTTTGGCCCTCAGATTGAAGAGATGATCCCAGAGAAGTACAGAACAATAAAACTCAACTACCTGGTTGAGCGGGTGTTCAAAGTTGTGTTCGAAAAGGAGTACCCTTGCGTTTTGCGAGTGGGAACAGCCTCTGTGTCACTGGAAGCCCAAGATGGCCAACTTTTTAACTTTTATGTGTTTAATAAGCAGGGCTTGTCCCCCGGCTTTGATGCACCAGGACTTAACACGTACAATGTTGTCAGAATTGCCCGCAGGCCGTCCTTCTCCAGCTAAACTGCTGCCATGCAGTGGCCAAAAGACAAATGGTGTAACCCTGGGCTAGAACCAAAACGAAAGCAGCGAACGTTGCAAGGATGAATAGAAAAGTTAGGAAGATTCATGAGCTCAGATCTGAGAATATTCTGGAAGGACAACACAAACATTTATGGAAAATGTACGAGTTTCTCTGCTAAGTCAGTGTCTTCTGGTTTTGTATCACACCTCTGAGCTGAGCTTTCACACGGTGGCTAAACAGAGATTTGATTATTGCCTTCAATTAAATTGCTCTCACATTGCCGTGACCCACGTTGCTTCTTACTGTTCTTCAAACCGAACAATTTTTATTGCGGTCACGAACACAAAAGTTTCACAAATTTATTTTAATTTAATTCTGAAACCAGGATCACAAGTTGACAATATATTCAGCGCAGAATTTTCAGCGTTCATTAATGGGGCCAACATCTATCTGTTGCAGGTCAAATCAACAAGATGCACTAATTTTGGAAATGTTGGTTTTAGGCCAACAACAAAAACCCTAACTAGTTTTGGCTTTGTTAAAAATAACAAGTACCGGTAGTCTTTGTTTCATGATAAGTAACACACTCCGATCGACAAACACACCCATTAAAGGGTCAAATGTGGCATTTTACCGTTCGTATTAGAATACCCTATGTGATGTTTTGTAGAAATGGAAACGGTTTAGCCTCATGAAACATCACTTGTCTGTATTCATGTCCTCACAGCCAAGGGATTGAAGCTCTTTGTTGTGGTTGGTAGGGAAACAAAGTGTGTCATGCAAAGTTGTGAACCATACTGGAACAAAACCATGCCAACATGCTAATTACAACACTGATTCCCTGCTATTGTTCCAGCTTGTTATTCAGAGAAAAATGTAAGATGAGGTTCATGCAGTCTGTTGAAAAGAAATACTCACATTGCAATCATAAAGCTGAATAACTATCTATTTAGAACTATCACAAAATAATCATATTTCTGCAGTTTAGGGCCAAAATCCCTAATTAAAAGTTCACAGGTATCAACCGTAGACTAGAATGACGAGTTTAACATGTAACTTTTAATACGAGACATTGCATAATTGCCATAATTAGTTTCCATCATTGCAATCACAGTGACAAACAGCTTATCAGTCATTCAAATCACATACATGACTGCTGGCCATGCAACAAAAGACGGGACAAGATCAGGAGAAGCTCAGGTACAGCATCCTTTCTTTACATCTTCCACTTAAACACTTCGACTTTTTTTTCATGAACACACTTTTTTTAATAAGGACAAAAATAATGAAGTTTAACATTTTTTCCATCAGAAAACCCTTGATTGTTTTATTACATTCCTGGATGGATTCACCCTGTGAGGTTTACAGATGTTACAGAACAAAGCAGCAGAGGGAGAATATGCAGGCACTGTTAGCAGCAATGACAGCAACAAACTAATAAAAAGTCAAATTCAGCACACAAGCGTTTCATAACGACATGTTTTAAATGTAAAGGAATAATTCAGCATTGTGGGTAATTCATTTTCTTGTCAAAAATGACATGACAATAATGAAAATAATGCATGAGATGAATATGACACTAGGAGGAAGCTGGCATATTAGCAAGAAGATTGTCAATATGGGGGAAGAGCTGCCCAGGAGAAACACATTAAAGTTTACTTTTTAAATGTGTGTTTGTGTAAATTTGTACAATATATATTTTTTACCATTGTAGCAGTGTAGTTGTACAATAATTTGTTTACAAATAAAGATGCAGGTCAACTTGTTGGGCTTTGATCTGAGCAAATGAGATAAAAAGTGGAAACCATGAAGGTTAGCCAGTTTTTTCTAAACTTGGAGCAGTGCTTTAATTAGGCAGCTTCCTCCATATTTATATTCATACTTATCTTTTTTTGTTCTTTGTTTGTTTGTTTGTTTTTCACTGGCACCTTTCACAAGCTGTTAGTGCTTTTTTCTGCCCTCTGAATGGCAGATTTTCAATGGACCTTCATAAACTGTGCTACTGAACAACAAAAGCTCTCTGACTGCAGCTTTTCAAACTCAACAATTAAAAGAAATGTAACTTGTTATCTGTATTTTTGTTCATTGGACAAAATCATGGGAAAATAAAGAGATAGTATTTTTATTAATTGATAACGAGCCACAGTATTTGAATAAGAGTCACCTTCCTCTTCCTCTGCTGCATCCATATGTTGATGCAGTAGCTCATAAATCAATCATCCTGTGCATCGACTCCGGCACAAACTGGTGTTTTTGCATTCTCTGCATTTTCCTTTTACATGATTGGGAGTAAAGGGTGAGGTAGGGAAGATGCTGATGGCTGCACCCTGTAATTTATGCAGCTTGTTTTTCTCACATTCTGTACCTTTTGATCCAGCTTTGTGGAGTAGTTGTGAGCAGTTAGCTTCATATGTGCAGCTGATCGCTGTCAGAGCAATTACAGTGAGGAAGTTTCAATAAGTTATCTGCTACTCAGAGTAATGACTGTTTAAGTGCTTTTTTGACTTAAACGTAATACTTAAAATATCTCAGTACTTTTGCACGACAAAGACGCTCCCTTTGCCAATATTTTATTTGCTAAGCATTGTCTGTTGTACTGTACATGTTTGAGTTTGTTCGTTTTCTTCTGCCATACATCTGCAAATCCATTACGGAGAGTAAAAACAGTTGTGAAAATTCAAGTCACGTCTTTTTCCTCAAAAGAGACATAAAATACCGTATTTTTCATCCTATAATTCACAGTTTTTTTTGCATAATTTACATTCCCTGCAACTTATAGGTCCAAGTGACGTATTTATAATTTTTTTTTCTCATATTTATAAACCAATTTTTGGCAGAGATATGACCGTTTTCATTCATTCTGACTGAAAAAATTTGAACACTACAATTTTTCAGCTGCTAGATGGCACTCCAGTATTAAGGTATGCCGTTGTATCATGTAATAGGTAAAAGTGGTTATAATGACAAATTCAAAAAAGTTCAAAACAAAAACAACAGGACTTTATTTATTATACTTTATTTTATACTTTATTGTTTAGATCTTGAACTTTTTTGAATTTACCATGTCCTGGATGACTGAGAATCTACACCAGCTATTAATGATACAATCAGCTTGCCATAGTACACCTTCGTTCTGCTAGCTGCTTGTATCAAGTTAAACCAGCTGCACCGCCCCAGTGAAATGCAGCTAATTTGACCATTAAAGTGCTTTTATTAAGTAAAAGTTCAACTGAGACACAACTTTGCTATAATTTCGAGCAAACAAACAATTGTTTTAGGTGTTTTTCTTGTTAAATTTTGAAGAAATGCGCACCGTTCCTCCTTCCTTTCTTCCTCTCTGTTTGCACGCTCCTGGGAGCACCAAGGCAGCGAATACTTTTGAAATACAACTGATATGACCGTTAAAGTCCTTTTATTAAGCAAAAGTTAGACTGAGACACACCTCTACTATGAAGTCGAGCAAACAAATTGTTTTTAGGTGTCTATATTGTTAAATTTTGAAGAAACGCACAGAGAGTCGTTCCTCTGCGCATTCATACTTCCACGTATCATCTTTTGAAATACAGCTGATGTGATCATCAAAATGAATTTATTAAGTAAAAGTTAACCTGAGACACACCTTTGCTATAATGTCGAGCAAACAAATAATTGTTTTTAAGTGTTAATCTTGTTAAATTCTTGTTAAAGCCCTCCATGCATGCTCCTGCAGCTGCCATTTGGCAGCCAATTGATTTTTGCCACAACGGACCACATGTTGTCAGTGGTGACGCGTAACAAACCAAAGTGTCAGCGGTGATGCATAATAGATGCAACGTATACGGTGACGCAACATGTTTATGGATTTTTCCACTTTATTAAACATGTTTGGACTGATGCGACTTATAGGGCGGAGCGACGTGTACGGAGGAAAATATGGATTGTGAACGAGCCAGATTATTCAGGAAAAATGTCTGATTATACAAAATGACTCCAGATGATCAGAGGAAGGATGTTTTAACACCTCAAAGCACACAGGTAATGAAGATTGTTTTGATGAAATCAAAAAATAAAACATTAGCATGCAATTTGATTATAAAATACCTGAAGCGTTCACTTGGAATTTTTTTGGCCAGTTTTGACTTTTTGAAGTTTTGATGGTGGAATTGTACAAAGTACTTCTTAAATGAACTCTGCAGTGAAACTGACTCCCAGATGAGAATTCCTCCCAGTTTTTATAAACATAGACTCTTGTCTGCTGCAGGTAAGATACTGACAGTCCATAAGTAGTTCACACAATTTGACTTCAAAAATTAATAGATATATTAAAACTGCTCTCTCACCAAAAAAAAAAAAAAAAAATTATCCACATTTTATATCTGGTCTTGACAAATAAATGAGTGGCAGGCCAGGCAACAAAGACTGGGAAAGGTATTGTTCAAGCTGGTCAGCATCTTTTCAGTGATAAATTTAATTAATGTTTTCTCAGAAAGTATAGTGTTGACTAATTATGTTTTTTTTATATATAGTTTTGGCACCTATTTGTTTTTTTGTTGGTTTTTTGGTGCTCATTCAGTATGAAAGGTTTAGAAATATGACTAAAAGTTGCAACGATGTGAATAAAAACATCTTGAGCTACAAAAGAAACAGCACACAAACCCTAATCCTGATGTGTATGCCAGTTTGCTGGTTGTGGAAAAAAGGGTGATTGACAATAACACAATGGCTACTTTTCATTTACCTCCTCTCCCTCCAATAATTGCTATTTGTTAGCATTGCTGATGTGTTTCATTATTCTAGGGTAAAAAAGTGATGAGGGACACTGAATTCATCTGCCAGTTAATGTGATTCCCTCATTGAGTTATTTAGCACATTCATTGCTTTTTTTATTATCAACAGCTTTGTCCGTTTCGGCCATTGACTGGCTGTGACAATTAGAGATGTTGTTAAAACGAAATAAACCTGACCATTCGCTTGAATCTGTTAAAATTAGCAGTTTGTTTTGTCCTCCCTGAACGTCCAGAGCTGACTGAATTTGTGTCACCATTAACATTTAGTTCCTCTTTATAGAGACAGCTGGATTAGTCTATAGTCTGTGTGTAAATAGTTCTGAGCTATTGTATGTAAATTTACTCAGGTCATGGGAGATTACCAATGACAGATGTTGTCTGTGCCTCCAAGCATTCTTCATTACAGCTGTGATGATTGCGTTCCCAGCTTGAGGAACGCATGGATCATGATCATGATGATGCTCAGGTGGGCCATTATGTGACACACATCAACCAACCTAATTTCACAACATGACATTTAAGGCCTACAGACATACACAGCTAAAATCATTGACATTTCACAATAAAGGCTCATAAATTGCACATTTACAAGTTATTGGATTAGATTAAAAATCATGGGTGCAGTAAGAAATATGCACATTGTTCAGACTTTCACATTTATTTATCTATTAATCATGGTTTCTGGGGTGAAACATGGCT